TCTATAGTGTCCCTGGTCAGAACAGTAGGTAGTGGTACCAGAGCACCACTAGTTCTTCTGGTCTCAAGGTAGGTGAGGGCATAGTTTATGCAGACTATTTGTCCTGTAGACTAGTTTCTTCTTTGAGACTTTAATTTCCTTCTCACTCTCTTGCTCCAGACTCATAGAGACCAATAGTTGTATCTTAGTCCCCATCTGAATATCTAAACACTAATCACTTGATAACCTGATGACTTAGAGCCCCGAGAAGATCCAGACCATCAGGCCTGAGTTCCCCTTGCTGGCTCCCTCCAGCACACCCACCCACAGCTTCCTGGAAGTCTCAAGGCCCCTCTGCACTCTTCCCACACTCCCTGTCTTTCTCACATTTCCTGCCTTTGCCGGGTACATCAGAGCAAAGTAGGGAAGGTGAGGCTGGAGGAAAGTGATTATGTCTTCTGGAACTGGACAGCCTGGTGTGAGACCAGGCTGTATCACTTATGAGCCATGTGACCCTGGACAGAGACTCAGTTTCTTGTCATCATGGTGGTAAAGCATTTAATCATTATGATTTCTCAATAATAGCTTCAAGGTCACAGAGCCTTTTTTTCTCTTTTTGTAGTCTATATCTTTCTTTGCTTCTCCACTGAGTCGTCTTTGCCTCACACCCCCAGCCCTGCCCTCAACATGACTCTGCCAAAGCCTGTTTGTTCCTCTAGTTTTGGGCAGTAGTTAAGGAAAGGTGAAAAGCTACAGGAGCATGTCAAGCAAAGGAACCAGAACGTTAATGTAAAGCTATGGGGGGTGTCAAGCAAGTTGCTTGAGGCAGTGGAATTTTCCGAAGCCTGGGGACCTCTGTCTTTCCATGAGCTGGAGGTCGACTCTATGGCAGCTAACAACCATCCCAAGGAGAAATGAAGAGGGAATAGTGCCATTCACTACAATACCAAAAACCCCGCTGCCATCAAGTCAATTCCGACTCAGCCATTCTACAAGACAGCGTAGAAGTAAGTGCCCCATAGAGTTTCCAAGGAGAGGCCGGTGGACTTGAACTGCTGACCTTTTGGTCAGAGCTGAGCTCTTAACCACTGGGCCACAATAGGAAACATAAAAGGCGAAAGTTTAGGTGGGATGGAGGAGGGGAGATCATGATACCTTTCTGACGTTTGGAGTTTGAGGTGTCTCTGGGACATCCAGGTAATATCCGCGGGCTTCTGAATATGTAAGTACATACATATTATTATTAAAGCTGCAGCTGGGTTGCAGATATAAATTTAGGTGTCATCAGTTTACAGGCAGTAATTAAAACCATGAGTTTTGGATGAAGTCACCCTGAGAAAGTGAGGGGTCATAAGATCTGTGGGCCAAGGTTAGAGCTCTAGGGTGCTCCAACTACAAGCAGTTCAAGGCTCAGATTTGTTAACGTTCTCCCGAGAAGTGTGTGAAGTTAGAAAAGGGTGAAGAAAGCGCCCTGGAAATCATCAATATTTAGGGGAAGAGATGAACAAATAAGAGATGGGTAAAAGGGTAGAAGTCAGATCACGGGTGTCGGGTAGAAGGTAGTCACTAGCGTCAAATGCCGCTGAGGTCAAGAAAGGTAAGGACTGGAAACTCTATCCACGAGCTTTGACAACTAGGCGGTGGCCAGGGCGACCAGAGTGCGATCAGTGGAGAGGCGGGGGTAAGAGTTTTCCGGTTGTTGGAGAAACCTCTTCAACAGGTTTGCAGTTCGAGTAGCGGACAGGTATCACAGCCCTCAGACCTTTGTACTGGGTTCGCTGATTTCGCAAAAAAAAAAAAAAAAAAAAGCGCATATCCCCCATGCGCACTCTTAACACACCAAAGACCAAAGAGCCAGACGAACTTTGCGTTTCCGGTGAGCCCGCCGCAGAACCCTCGTGCACGCGCCTCCCGAGCCAGCTTACTCCGCCGTAGGCCCCGCCCCAAGCCTGCAGAGGGCGCTGCACCTGAGAGAACAGGGGCGTGGCACCGCTCTAGCCCGCTCCTGGCCTCGGTGGCGGGCGCTGCAGCTCCGCGTCCCCCACGCTTCCTGCCAGCACAGGTGGGTCCGCCCGCGCGGGGCGGGAGTGCCTCCGAGCGGGGGACGGGGTAGCGGCAGCCTCCCGGGCGCGGAGAGGTCTTTATCGCCTAAATGCCCCGGCTTGGGCTTCACCGGATCGGGCTATGGGCAGGGCCGCGCAGGTGGAAATCCACGTCCAGGTGGGCTCCCCCTGGATGTGCAATTCCTATTCCAGGGCCCCTTTCAACCGTGGGGGTCTCCGCCCGGGCCGGCGTGCGTCTTCCGGGGGACAGCTGGGAGCGGAGCTAGTAAGGGTGGGGCTCCCGTGATTGACACCCTCCCTCCACAGCCTTCACGGGTAACCACTGGACCCCTCCCTGTCCGGAACCCTGAGCCAGCACCATGGTGAGAACCCTGAGCTCAGCCCTTCACCTCCGCATGCCCACGCCCTCGCCCTGCGTGGCCTTGCTTCGGTTGCTCCGTATGAGCCTGGGGCTCCCCAGTGGGGGGTTCCGTGGGTCTGCCCTTGCAAGGATAGCCTGCACCCTTCCAACCCACCCATTCCTGTAGCACGGGCGACTGAAGGTGAAGACATCGGAAGAGCAAGCGGAAGCCAAAAGGCTAGAGCGGGAGCAGAAGCTGAAGCTATACTTGTCAGCCACCCAAGCCATTTTCCAGAAGGTGGGGGCCCTCAGGGATAGATCTCTTCGCAAGTGCCTCCCTTAGTATAGTACAGAGACCAAGAGCTGGGCTGGAAAATCAGACTGCTTGGGTCCAAATCTGGGTTCTATCACTAGCTGTGTGGCCTTGGGCAGGTTCCTGAATCTCTATGGGGCTCAGTTTGTACATCTGTAAAATGGGACTAACACGCTTACTACATAAAACTATTGTGAAGATTAAATGAGAAGATGTATGTAAAGTTCTCTGCATAGTACACATAGTATGGGACTCAGAATATTGATAGTTCTATTTATGCTATTTAATCCCGTGATGGAAGAATGATACGTTTGTGACCCTGGTGCCTACCTTCTCAGCGCCAGGCTGGCGAGCTGGATGAGTCAGTGCTGGAGCTGACAAGCCAGATTCTGGGAGCCAACCCCGACTTTGCCACCCTCTGGAACTGCCGGCGAGAGGTGCTGCAGCAGCTGGAGACCCAGAAGTGCGTAGAGCTTCAGGGCCCCAGGAGGACCTCCCTTTCTAGCCCTGGCTCCAACCCTGCCTTGCCTGGGTCAGGATGGAGGAGGAATAGGGCAGCCAGGGGTATAGGCAGAGGGCAGTGGAGTGCAGGCTGATGGAGTGAGCTGAGGTTGGGTGTTGGAGGGCGCTGACCCGCCTCCGCATTGGGTGCAGGTCCCCGGAGGAGTTGGCTGCTCTGGTGAAGGCAGAGCTAGGCTTCCTGGAGAGCTGCCTGCAGGTGAACCCCAAGTCCTACGGCACCTGGCATCACCGCTGCTGGCTGCTGAGCCGCCTGCCTGAGCCCAACTGGGCCCGGGAACTGGAGCTGTGTGCCCGCTTCCTCGAGGTCGATGAACGGAACTGTACGTGCCTGCAGATTCTGTGTCCACAGCCCTCACCTGCCCTGCATCCTGGTATTGGAGTTTCAGTAAGGCTCAAAGTGGGGAGGGATGTTCAGAAGGGCCCACTGAACTGATGGCAAAGGGATGACAGCTAAGTACATCTTCTGTAGAGTGTATAGAGGTGTTTCTGGGGATGCACCAGGGAGCACCCCATGCCCCTCTTCTGAGATGTGCTGTGTCCTGCCCTACCCCAGTTCACTGCTGGGATTACCGGCGGTTTGTGGCTGCACAGGCAGCTGTGCCCCACACAGAGGAGCTGGCCTTCACTGACAGCCTCATCACCCGAAACTTCTCCAACTACTCCTCCTGGCATTACCGCTCCTGCCTCTTGCCTCAGTTGCACCTCGAGCCGGACTCTGGACCAGAGGGGCGCCTCCCTGAGGATGTGCTGCTCAGAGGTAAGCAGGGTCAGGGGTGCTGGAGAGGGCCAGCCACGGCTCTGCATCCGTCCTTCTCTGATGCCTGGTCCTGTTCCTGGACCTGTCAGTCAGGTTCATTGAGCACCTACTTCATGCCTAGCTCTGGGATACATAAGATTGAGTCCTGGCTGCAGGGAGCCCAGCTGTTGATGGGGCAGATAAAACTGGTGTATGCAGCCCCTGTGCAAGGCCAGCATAGAAGTGAGACTGAGGGCTGGAGGTCCTGCAGGGAGAGGGCATGCAGAGTAGGGGTGTTGGGGCAGATGGAAGCCTTCCAGGGTCCTGACCACAGCCCGCATCCCTCCTTGGCCCCTGCAGAGCTGGCGCTGGTGCAGAACGCCTTCTTCACTGACCCCAATGATCAGAGTGCCTGGTTCTATCATCGCTGGCTCCTGGGCCGAGGTGAGTAAGAGGATAAGAGACTGGGCATTTAGGGCTTGGAAGGCATAGAAAAGGATTTAAGGAGACCTGAGGCTGTCTCTCCCCAGCTGACCCCCAGGATGCTCTGCACTGCCTGCACGTGAGCCGGGACGAGGCCTGTCTGAGTGTCTCCTTCTCTCGGCCCCTCCTAGTGAGTCCTGCAGCTTTTGCCAGGGAGCAGTGTGGGGTTGTGAGCCAGGCATTGTCGGGGCTGACGGGTCTCCCTTTGTCCATGGCCAGGTGGGCTCTGGGATGGAGACCTTGCTGCTCATGGTTGATGGGTCGCCACTGGCTGTGGAGTGGAGGACCCCAGATGGCAGAAACCGGCCCAACCGCGTCTGGGTATCCTAGGATTGGTGGGGCAGAAGTGGAGGGCCGAGGTGGGACTAGGGTGGGACAGAAATGTGGTAGGGCTAGGGTGGGACAGAAAAGTGGTGAGGCTAGGGTATCTCCTTGACCCAGTGCTCCCAGCTCTGTGACCTGCCTGCCGCCTCCCTCAACGACCAGTTGCCCCAGCATACATTTTGTGTCATTTGGATGGCAGGCGATGCCCAGAAGGAGTGTGTGCTGTTAAAAGGTGGTGCAGCCTGCGGCCTCTACCCCCTGCAGCAGCCCCCATCCCTCCCATCCTCTCACGAGTGTCCCCTTCTGCCACCTGCTCTTTTCCTCAGGCCGCCAGGAAGGCTGGTGCCGGGACTTGGCCATGGATGAGCAGCTATTCAGGTGATGACAGGGAAGCACACAGACAAGGAGAGGGCACTAGACTGTGGGCATCAGGCAACTGGGATAGGAGGCTTAAGGCTTGGGGAGATGATCTCAGACCAGACATTGGGTACTGCCAATCCCCCAAGACTGCCTACCCTCAGGTGTGAGCTGTCGGTGGAGAAGTCTACGGTGCTACAGTCCGAACTTGAATCCTGTAAGGAGCTGCAGGAGCTGGAGCCTGAGAACAAATGTGAGGCCCCATTCTCTGAGCACCCCCTCTCCAGACCCCCACTCAGGAGGCCCCTTTCTGGAGTGCCCCTTGGGGAGAGCAGGAAGGGTATGGAGAGGATGGGGAGCAGAGCGGATTTAGGAAAAAGCCTCCTTTACCCATCCTCTTCTCAGGGTGCCTGCTCACCATCATCCTGCTGATGCGGGCACTGGACCCCCTGCTATATGAGAAGGAGATGCTGCAGTACTTCCAGACCCTCAAGGTAAGTTGGGCCTTGGGGAGCAGGCAAGGGGGCCCATCGGGCAGGGAGAGAGACAGCTGATGTGCAAACCTTGCCCGGCCCACCCCTACCAGGCCGTGGACCCGATGCGAGCTGCATATCTGGACGACCTGCGCAGCAAGTTCCTGCTGGAAAACAGCGTGCTCAAGATGGAGTACGCTGAGGTGCGCGTGCTGCACCTGGCTCACAAGGTATCAACTACCACACACACCTTCCACTGGGCCCTCTCCACGTCTCATTCCTCTCCCTCATGGCCTAGCCACCTGTTGTCTGGCCTCACCATTCTCCTGACTACCCTTCCATCTCCAGTGCCTTCCTAGACATTTCCTCTCAATCAAGATTGAATTCATAATCTTCCTTCAAGCCTACTGCTCTTCCAGGCCTTGTTTTCTGTAACTTGCCCTGTTATTCTTTTTGGTTTCTTCTTGCCCCAAGTCCAAATCCTGAGTCACCAGGGCCTCCTCATGCTGCCCCTTCCAGTGGGAAAATCACAAGTTCATTTTTCCTTGAGAGTGACCTCTCACCACCCCCCACCAACTCTTTCCCATGCTTCTCACCCTGGAGCAAGCCCCGACACCTAAAGCCCAAATTGTTTCCAGAGATTTCTGACAAGCTTTCCAGACTCCATTTTCCCTCTGTCCCTAGGCCTTCCCAATCAGTCTTCCTAACACATCCACATCAGTTTTATCACATCACTGCAGCCCACCTCCACTTCTACCAGATGGATCCCGCAGACTCACCAACCCACTCCTGTCAGTGTCCTTGTTCACCCCAGTGCTCTCCCCTATCCTCTGTACCTTTCTCCAGTCCAGGCTGCCTCCTCCCATCCACTCCCCCCGGTCACCCTCCAGTACTCACTGTCTGTCCCGTGTTCTTGTCACCTAGCATGTACTGGTTAGGTCATGTCAGCTTCCCACCTGCCTCCACCCTGTCATTAGCTGGGGTCTGTGTGGGGATTAGAGAGCAAGTGCCTAATAAATGATGGCTGAGGACCCTCCCCCAGGCCTCGTTGGGTGTCTCATATACCCTCTCCTCAGGATCTCACAGTCCTCTGCCACCTGGAGCAGCTGCTCTTGGTCACTCATCTTGACCTGTCACACAATCGTCTCCGAGCCCTGCCTCCTGCCCTGGCTGCCCTGCGCTGCCTTGAGGTAAAGCACTCATGCCTCCATTGCTGTCCTAGGTAGTCTTCTCCCCCTTCTTCCATTTCAGAAGTCTGACCCCCCCCTACAGAGGTCCAGAACCTCTCAGCCCCTGCAAGTGGCCACTTACCTTCCCCCTACCCCCATGTCCATTGCCCAGTCTGACCTCTTGAGCCCTGTCATGCACTGTAAGCTGATCACTCTCAGTTGCTTATACCAGTGCCAGGCTGGCAGCTGCCTGCTTTGCCTTGTGCTACCCTGCCCTCCTGGCTCCCCAGGTGCTGCAAGCCAACGATAACGCCATAGAGTCCCTGGATGGCGTCACTAACCTGCCCCGGCTGCAAGAGCTCTTAGTGTGTGGTAACCGTATCCTTCCTTCTGATGCCTTTCAGACTGCATGGAGGGTGGTGTGCTATTACTGTACAGCAACCATATCCTTCCTTCTGGGTGCCTTTCAGACAGCAAGCAGGGTGGGTGCCACCCTGAGGAGGGAGGGCTGAGGGAGCCGGGGCTATGGCCATCTAAACCAAGGAGAGGCTAGCCTGGGGGCTGGATGGGGCTGTTGTTGACTTTACTGGTAGATTCTGTAGGGTGGACGTGACTTTCTCAAGCCAAAGCCCACCAACAGTCTACAGATCAGGGAGTTTCATATTTTTAAAAAAAATCTAGATTTCTGATTCTCCTAAAATGTGAAGGTTAAAGCAACCTCTGGTCTGCGTTTCCACTCGGCAATCCATGGCCATTGCTGAGTAGTGGATGCTTCTTTAGACCAGGCTAGCTTTCCACTACTCCTTCTTGAACCACACCCTGCCTGCTTCACGTGCTCCCTGCCTTACTCCTGTGGCCAGGTTTTTGCAATTCCTGCCTAGAATCTTACTCCCTCTAGGAAAGCATGTGAGATGCCCATGAAACAGACTTCCAGGCAGCAGCGCCCCAGCTCTTGAGGGAAAACATTGACAGGCACACAAGAACAGTGCTTGTAAGGGAGCCTGCTGAGTTTTCCTTGACTGTCCCTCCTGCCCAAGGCCTCCAGCAGCCCACAGCGCTCCAGTCACTTGCCTCCTGCCCTAGACTGGTCCTCCTCAACCTGCAGGGCAACCCCCTGTGCCAAGCAGTGGGCATCTCAGAGCAGCTGGCCAAACTGCTGCCTTCAGTGAGCAGTATCCTCACCTAGGAGGATGCCTTCCACCCTTGCCCTTAAGTTATTTGGACTAAATAAAGAATGGAGAAACTCCCTCGGTTCACCAACCTGCTGCCTCTGCCACCACCACCATTACTGCCTCACCTGCTGGGAAAGGAGAGGGAAAGAGACTCAGGATGTGTCTGCTCACCCTCTCTGCTCTCATGTCATGCTCCCCAGCCCTCTGTTCCCTCTCATGGAGGACCAAAGCCTCAGTGTTTGGGGCAGAGTTCAGGGCTGGGACTGGCCTTGAGTTCACCTTCTGGTTTGGGGCTGGGCTGGGTCAGGTTCCAGGCTGGGATTGAGATCAGGCTTGGGTTCAGGTTCAGAGCTAAAAAGCAGCTGTAAGTCTCTCCAACTGGAAGGGGTGATAAAAGGCTTCTCTATGACCCTGCCCATTCACAGAGCTGAGAAGGCTGGGGTGTTCTATGTTCCCAGGAGGAGTGGCCCCGGGCTACCTTGCTCCTCCCTGTTATAACAACAGATCAGTCCCAATAAATAGCATTCTTTGGTTGAAGAACCACTGAAAATCTTTGATCCTTACAAGAAGTTAGGCATGAGATGATTAGCCCAATGAGGAAGCTGCTGTTAAGACTTGCCCAAAGTTGCTGACTTAAGTGCTGGAGCCAAAGTCATCTCTGCACCTCTGTCTAGGGATTCTAGATCCATGTTCTTGCTTCTGTACTGTATGGAACAGTTGGGCCAGAAGTCTGGCCTCAGCAGCCTGAGATACTGAGTTGGGTTTCTGCTCCCATGACACCCCCTAGTGTGCAAGCACACTCGTGTGGACATGCACACACATCCTGTCCTGACATTGAAAGACACAAGGCACTGGGGCCTCCTGGAGGGAGGAAAGAGGAGTGGCCAGGGACAGATTATCCAGTAACCAAGGTAAGCACATGCCTAGGGCATTAACGAAACGGGCACCAGTTGGCCAAAGCAAAGACCCATAGATGCCAAGCAGGTAGGCCACTTCTACACTCAATTGCTAAAACAGTCACATTTAAAAAGAAGTTACAAAGGCAGGGACAAGATGGAGTAGTAAGACGCTTCCAGTGGTTCCTCTTACAACAAAGATCTGAAAAAATAAGTGAATCGATTTTATATGACAATCTCGGAGGCCTGAACATCAAAGGCAAAGTTGAGGAATCAGTGGCAAGGAGAGGGAGAGACGGTTCAGAAGAAGCGAGGAGTTGCCAGACCTGACCCAGTGGGAGCCTGAGCTCTTCAGGCCAGATCAGCTTATGGTGCGCGGTGAGGCAGGCAAGCAACAGTGCTTGGGAGGCATTTTCCACACTGGGAGAGGCCCAGCAGCAGAGAGTATGCTTGGCCAGCCAGAAGCAGTGAGAAGCAGCCCTCCATCAGCGAAAGATAAGTACTTGCATCTGGCCTACCGCATGGATCAAAAACACCCCCCTTTGGGAAAAACCTGTCTCCCATTTACCTCCCTGCTCCCTGCTCTGCACTGGGTCCGGGACCAGCTTCAGCAATTGCCAAGTCCCCTGGGCTAGAAGTAGGACCTGTCACGCCCTGACCCATTCTCCCGGCCTTGAAGAGTGAACAAATTAACAAACAGGAAAAAATAATCTGCCAGCTCCTCTAAGCCAGGAAGTCAGAGTAGGCACAGCTCCTTTGCCTAGGCACAGGCATAAGGGGTCCACGGACTTTGAGTGCCTTTCCCCCTGCATATACTTGTGTGGGCACATTTCAACAGCGTAGGCCCTCATTCTCACAGTACAACAGGGTATATACCTGAAGTCTAACTTCATCTGTTTCAGCTGTGAAGTGGCAGATGCTTATATTTGACACTGCTCTGCCCATTAAGCAGGGTCTTCACCTACCCACATCAGGGACCTGAGGACTGCTGGCTGCACCCACGCCACCTAGCCATTTGCAACAGGGGCACAAGAATTAGTGGTGCCCCCCAGTCCTTACAGCCAACAGCTTTGGGTGCTCATAGTCTGGTGGCAAAACCCATCCACCTACGCACCCTAGGGAACAGGGACACACTTCCTCCCGAACACTTGGGGACAGCTGTCGGCCCTCTGCCTTGCTCAGCATGTGACCGCCTCCTGCAGCCGGATGCCTGTGCCTACACCAATTACCCATGCCTGTCTAGGGCTGTAGGTGAGAGCCTGCACCACACACTTAGTGGCCGACTACCTGGACACCTGAGCTGAATCCATACAGGAGGAGTGGGTGGACTCCTGGGCTCACATGCTTAGTGGCAGGTCTGGCCACCTGGTGGCAGGACGTTGGAGCTTCAGGGGTGCTGGTGATCAGACTAGTTCACACAAGCAGCCTATTTGGGCATATCAAAACAAAACAAGAAGCTAGAACACAGTAGCAAGCATAAAATAAATATAACAACTGATGGCTCAGAGACAACAGTCAATATCAAATCACATAAAGAGGCAGACCATGATGGCTTCAGCAAGCTCCCAGAATAAAGAATCAAGAAATTTTCCAGAGGAAGAGACTTTCTTGGCATTACTGGAGGCAAAATACAAAAGATTAATATACAGAACTCTTCAAGATGTCAGGAAGGAGATCTGGCATAATGCAGATCTAGCAATAGAGGAACTTAAGATTAGGAAAGAGCATAATGACAAATTTAACAAGCTGCAAGAATCCATAGACAGCAATCAGAAATCCAGAAGACTAACAATAAAATTTCAGAATTAGACAACTCAATAGAAAGTCATGGGAGCAGAACTGAGGCAATCGAAGTCAGAGTTAGTGAGATTGAAGATAAAGCACTTGACACCAACTTATTTGCGGAAAAATCAGATAAAAGGATTTAAAAAAAATGAAGAAACCCTAAGAATTATGTGGGATTCTGTGAAGAGGAATGACCTATGAGTGATTGAAGTACCAGAACGGGG